AATGTGAGGAAATCATATCCCAAAGAATCTTCTTCAGTAATTTTCTGACCACAGACACAAGGCTCACCGGCCAGTAATTTCCTGGATTATTCCTGTTGCCCTTCTTAAACAAAGGAACAAGGATTGGCTATTCTCCAGTCCTGTGGAATCCCTCCTTTCATTAGAGGATACAAAGATTTCATACAGGTCCCCATCAATTTCCTCACCTGCCTCCCTCGTCATTCTGGGATAGATTCTATTAGGCCCTGGGAACTTGTTGACCTTAATGCTTTTTAAAACACCCAACGTCACCCCCTTTTGTTTTTAATAATGAAATCAACCAGAATATCAACATACCACCCCCCAAGAGTCACTATCCACCATGTCCTTCTCCTTTGTGAATACCCAATGCAAACTTCATTAAGGACCTTATTCACTTCCTCTGGCTCTACGCACAAGTTCCTTCCTTTGCTCTTCAGTGGACCTACCATTTCCCTAGGTACCCTCTTGCTCCTTGTTTATGTTCAGCAGTACTGTACACAGCAATCAGCCCCTAAATCATGACACTATCAGAGCACAAAAACACAACACCTCTGATAGCCTCAGTCCCATCCCTGAGCTGATGTCTACTTAAATGGTCTTAAGAAGAAGAAAATACTGCAGAGACCAGGCAGCCAGTGATGAGATTGAATTCAGTTAACAGATTCAGTGGGAGGATAAAATGTTTTTCGACAGAACTAACTTATTTTCATTTCAATAATGCAGTGAGAAGTGCAGATCACAATGGGAGAGAGAGAAGAGCTGGTTGCAGGTTGAACCTTGATGTCAGTGCAGCACAGTCTCTGAGGAGGAGATCTTGTGATTCTACTTGCTGTTTGTGCAACCCCAACATTGACTGAGACACAGAATTTGAACACTGCTGTTTTAAGAAGTTCAGCATCTTTGGAAATGAATAGATTTCCAGGGCAGAATGTAGGGCTGCTCAGTGAAGGGAAGAAACAGCTCGCTCTAACAATCATTTTCCTGCTACATACGAGATTCTGTGGGATTGGTAATGTTGTACTGTTGTTTGAAAAGGGCAGAAGCCAGAGTTATTGCAAGCCAGTTAGCTTTTCCTTGATGGATAAATTATGAGAAATTTTGAGGGACGGTATAACTGTCATTTAGAGAGACAGTGATTAATCAAGGCAGTCAGAAGGGACTTGTTGAGAGATACTCGTATTATGTAGTTGACATGTACTTTAGCAAGGCTGTTGATGCTGTCCCACATGGCAGACTGGTAAGAAAAGAAAGACCATATGGAATCAAGGGAATGTGGCATGTTGCAGCCAAAATCAGCTTGTGGCAGAGGCATGAAGCAAAGCTTGATGGACGCTTTGCAAGGGTGATGACAGATGACATAAAATCTGGCAGAATTGTAAACTGTGAGGAGGACAGTGTGGAACTCCAGATTTGGTAGAGTAGGCAGATAGACGGCAAATGAATTTCCATACAGAGAAGTGTGAGGTGATGCATTTTGAAAGGGGTATGTTTCTGGCAGGAGTGTGGCAGTGTAGGGGGTGTTTTGGGGTTTCAGGGTCAGTAAGCTTCGCATGGTCAGAAAGGAGAGATGAGGTGCTTTTTGCTTGCTTTTTTTTTTGCCTCATAGTTTGTAAAGTGTTTTTTAAACAGCTACATTGAAACCCAGATCAGGAGCCCAGCACAGAAAGTGAGATCCCAGGTAAACTGTACAGTCGTTGGTTAGTGATAGCTACTAATTTGGCTATCTATTATCTTTCAGATTAAAGGTATATAGGGGATACAATTACGGGCTACAACCGAAAAGACCAGTATAAAATTTTTAAAATCAAATTAAGATCTAAGCGATTAAAGTAGAGATACCAGGCCAGGCAGTGTATTGTACCTGCATGATGTGGGACGTGGTGGTTCATAGTAAGCACATCTGTAGCCAAGAAAAACTTCTGCATTAAACAGATGTTCATCTGCACATCCACTAATGTGGTGTATTGTTTGCTCCGTTCCTGATGTGGCCTCCTCTACATCGGGGAAACCAAGCAGAGGCTTGGAGACTGCTTCGTGGAACACCTACACTCGATTTGTGACAAATGACAATACCTCCCAGTCGCGAGCCACTTCAACTCCCCCTCCCACTCCTTAGACGACATGTCCATCCTGGGCCTCCTCCAGTGCCACAATGATGCCACCTGAAAACTGGAGGAACAGCACCTCATATTTTGCCTGGGAACACTGCAGCCCAATGGTCTCAATGCGGACTTTACAAGCTTCAAAATCTCACCACCCCCGACCTCATCCCAAGACCAGTCCCTCTCATCCCCGCTTCCTTGACCTGTCCGTCTTTTCTCCCACCTATCTGCCCCTCCCTCCTCACTGACCAACCCCCATCCCAACTCCCTACCTACACTCACCTTTACTGGCTTCATCCCCGGCTCCTTGACCTGTCCGCCTTTTCTCCACCTATCTGCTCCTCTATCTACCTTCTTTCATCGCCTTCCCCTCTGCCTATTTATTTCAGAGCCCCCTTCTCCCTTCGCCCCCAATTTCTGAAGAAGGGTCCAGACCCGAAACGTCAGATTTCCTGCTCGTCTGATGCTGCTTGGCCTGCTGTGTTCATCCAGCTCTACACCTTGTTATCTCAGACTCCAGCATTGGCAGTTCCTACTATCTCTGTAGCAAGTGTTGGTTGTTTTGGGGACTCTGACTTAGAGTTGTTGAGCTCGAGTCTGAGTTTCGAACACTGTGACACATCAGAGAGAGGGAGAGTTACCTAGATACTGTATTTTAGGAAGCAGTCACACTCATTAGATTAACTACCTTGAGTTTCGTCAGTGGCCATTGACAGGATGGTGTGACTACATGCGAGACAGGTGAAGGATTCCAAGAGGTACAGCTGAAGGAACCACCGATTTCATGGAGGTTTTTAAAATCCTGAGTAGGCTGAATAGAGTGGCTAGGGAGAAATTGTTTTCGCTTATAAAACGATCAAGAAGAGGAAAGACTGGATGGACTGCAGTTTTGCTCATGGGAACAGAGGATGCTGAAGGGAGATTTAATGGAGTATCTAAAATTAATGGCCCCAGTAGCCTGAATAGAAAAGATTTATTTTCGTTACCAGAATGTCTAATAACTAGGGATGCAGAGTTCAAGTAATAGAGGGATTTTTAAAATTTTATTCATGGGATATGGGTGTTCCAGTCTAGACCCAGAATTTATTTCCCACCCCTAACTGGCCACGAAAAGGTGATGGTGGGTTTCCTTCCTGAACCATTACAGTCCTTTTTAGCCATTAGGCAGGTCATTCCCAGATTTTAACCCAGTAATGGTAAAACTTGGTGATGGGCGTCTGGAATGAGCTGTTTGAAAGTGGGGCAGATGAAGAATCCTGATCCCATTTTAAAAAAAAAAGTTGAATGTACATTTGAGTTGGTGTAAACTATAAGGCTATGGACCAGGAACTGAAGGTAGAATAAGATTAGATTGAACAATATATCATGGATAGCACAGGCACATTATGTTGAATAATTTCCTTCTGTGATAGACATTTTCAGTGCTTAGTCCTTTAAATCAGGTTCTGCTAAAAAAAAAGCTTCCTCTGCAGTCTTTCCATAGCTTAGACCCTTACTAAAATGTCATGTTTGGAATCAGAATTAATGCTAAAACTAAGGATTATTTTACACTACATAAAAACCGAAAGAACTGCGGATGCTGTAAATCAGGAACAAAAGCAAAGTTGCTGGAAAAGCTCAGCAGGTTTGGCAGCATCTGTGAAGGAAAAAACAGTTAACGTTTCGGGTCCGGTGACCCTTCCTCAGAGTGCCTTCCTCAGATTATTTTATACTGTTATCTAAACTTTTATCATTTATTTTGTGCTATTTTCCCCTAATAATAAAACCATGGATCACAAGTTTTTAAACATCTGTTATGATCCCATGCAGGCCAGTAAATTGCTTTTAAAAAAAAAATTGAGTTGAGTGTGAAAGGGTGGCACAACAAGAATTCATGTTTAAGATTTTCACTGTAACAAACAAACTTTAAGCTTCTTAAAAAAAAGTTGCCAACTTAGACTTTAAACTGCAGACCAGAACTTTCCCCTTTTAATTTTAAGACAATGGAATCACTATTTCATAGAATTAGTTTACACTGTCCCTATTTAAATATTCAATGTTCCTGGATCTGTTTGAAGCTCCCAAGGGTTTATTACTTTCTTTTTCCCACCTGGTAACCTTTGACCCTAGAACTGTCTTCCGTGATGAAGGTCTTTTCTGACATTTCTCCCTTTAGTGTGAGCTAGGCCAAACTTGAGAGCACATTAGGTGAGTGCCTTCAGTGCATCCTAAATTAAAGATATAGCTTGAAAATATAGCAATTATACATTGCCTCAACTCATTCTTCTTTCCAAAATTTATCACTTCAAAATTCATGGCATGTTCTGTTTTTAACACTGCGCAGTGTGGAGGCAGAGCAGATGGTTAAACTCCCCTCTGTTTGAATGGTTTACAAGACTGAGCTATTTGCGATGATACTGAAAAATAAACTGGTTTAATTTGTTTGCAGCGCAAGTACCCTCATCCTCCAAGACCAAACAGTGTAAGAATCTATGAAGCACATGTTGGAATTGCATCACCCGAGGGGAAAATTGCCTCTTATAAGAACTTCACACACAATATGCTGGTCAGAATTAAGAATCTCGGTAAGCTATTGCAAAGAAATGGTTGATTGTTGTGCCATAATCTTGTACTGCATTCGAAGAAGTACTGATAATATTTGAGAATTGATGAGGTCAGTGTGGGATTTCCATGTTTTCTGGAATACCCAGGAGTCAAGCAGATTCACCATCAGTGCAGGAAAGAAGTGTGTCATAGCAATGTCAGTGGGGGAATGAGTTTGAATCCCACTGTATTAGGTCATAAAATTTGAATTTAGCAAAAATCTGGGATAAAAAAAGCAGCCTCATGACAACCGTGTGAACACTGTTGATGGTCATAAAAACCCATCTGGTTCACTAATATCCTTTAGGGAAGGAAACCCTTATCTAATCTGGCCTACTTGTGACTCCAGACTTGCAACAATATGGTTGACTATTAGAGTGGGTAATGAATGATGACCCAGTCAATAATGCCCACATCCCATAAACGAATACATTAAAAATTCCTGGTGGAGATATTGGAAAAGGCAAGGTGTTTAGAAAATCTCAGGTTGTTAGACATGAGAAAGATTTGAGGTTGTGCTATGTCAATGAGTATGTTTACTAAAGGTACAGGCCTTAACAACAGGGTGGAACCAGAAAAACAGAAATTGCTGTAGAAACTCAGCATCAGATCTGGCAGCATCTGTGGAGAGAAAGCAGAGTTGATATTTTGCATCCAGTGGCCTGTCTTCCAAACTGTAGAACCACAGTTTTGAGCTGCAGACGTACTGTGGAGTGGGTTGGTGGTCTGAACACTCCAGGTGCTACAAGTGAAGAGACTGCATCTGTTGGTGCCATACCACTGACTTTCCACAATGTCACTTTTGCCAACATCTCCCAGATTATTCCCAGTTTGGATTGACAGCCCTAGGTCAGAGGATGTGGGTGGTGTTGGCAGGGCCAGCATTTATTGCCCATCTCTAGTTGGCCTTAAGTTGGTGGTGAGTTGCTGTCTTGAACCACAGCAGTGAAGGAGAAGAAAAATTAGGAGGTTTCTACCCGTGAATTGTCGAAGCTTGCAGATAAACTAAGCCCTAGTAAATTATTTCCATTATCTCTCATTGTTAGTAGATTAGACTTGAGTTCATCTAGTGCAAAATTAATCTATCAGACATGTCAGGTGAATAGTCCTGTTGAGAATCATCTGTTAATGTCAGGTATCTTGGCAAAGTCATCAAAGTCATATAAACACACTTCTTGCTTGCAGGAAGCAGTTTAAAGACCAGCCTGGTGACCGCAGTTGTAATAGAACAGAGTTTTTGATGAATCACAATAAAATTTCAGTTGTTTACTTTCAACAGACTCAGACAGTTGAGGAAACTCCCAGTGTTGGATGTGGCCCGACAGGTTGCAGGGGTGTAGTGGGAAATCAACGGGAAAACTGGTGGAAAATGTTCTTTATACTGTTCAGTTCAGGCTTGGCATAAAGCTGCTTACATTTCACTCTGAACATTTCTTGAACCACAAAAGGCACAGCCCCTGATGGATCAATGAGATATATTAATTTCTGAAGCAGCAACCTCTGTGCAGTCTTTGAACAACTTTCACAAATTTCTGTCTTCCTCTCTTTCAAGGTGCTCCTTAAAATTTGCCTATCTAATCAAGATTTTACATGTGAATATTTCTTTGTGGTTGGCTGTCAAATTTTGTTTCTTAAAATCCCTTTGAAGTGTTTTTGGATGTTTTACAGTGTTGAAAGTTCTATATAGATACAAGTGTTATTGAAGAGTGTCATCATGCTCAGTTTACCAAGATATGTCATTGAACACGAGACCTATGCTCAGTGATTCCAATGGTAACTCACCTTTAGATAGGAATTTTTTTTGTATTTTCTTTCGAAAGTACAAGTAGAAGAAAAGTCTTTGAGTGGAATTGAGTTCCTTTAGTATCAGCAGGATTCTGAGTTTTTCTCACTGGCAGCATCATTCTAAAGTGTATCTCCATTGGGAGTCTAAATAGGTACATGTATTCCTGACTGCCGATTAAATGTGATGCATTGGAACGAATGACTTACATTGTGGCATGAGATAAGGAATCTGTGTTTCAAAGCACCGAAGCAAGGCATGATCTGAGATGCTGGGCTTGTGCTCACATAACCCTATTATGAGGATACCTGCTCCTTGAATGCACCAAGCTAGTGCAGAATAGTCCTCAGGGGAGCAGGGAAAAATTGCATTGTCTGTAGAAATTTGAATAGTATGAAGTTAGTTATTTATTTGTATTCTTTGCAGAGTTTTCCCCTTCCCAATTAGTTGTGTTTTACTATCTGACAGCAAGTTGTCGACACCTATCTTTATTAGCAAACTAAATAGATGATCATCTTGTCCTTTCTATTACAAAGATAAAATACTATGGATTCTATAAATCTGAAATAAAAGGAAAGCAATACACAGTAGATCTGGCATCAGATATGGAGGGCAAAGCAGTTGAAAGTTTCAGGTTGAGGTTCAGCATGAGGTTAGATACAGAATAGATATAGAAACTAGGAGTAGGCCCTTTCACCCTGCTCTGTCATTCAGTATGCTGATCCTCTATCTCAATGCCATTCTCACTTGTTCCCCGTAGTGATCGGAACCTGGTAGATCTCACTGACTGAGATTCTTGATTGGAGTTATTGACCTGGGCCAAAGTGAGGAACTAACCTCACTTGACGGACTGACTCCGAGCTGGCTGGCCACAGCTAGTGTACTGTGCAAAAGTACAGAAAGGGTGACTTGGTGACAGGATACCAGCCTCTGTGCTGTTATTTCACCCCCATACCCTTGATGTCTTTAATATCTAAACATTGATCAATCTCTTTCTTGAATGTACTCACTGACCCAGCCTCCATGGTTCCCTCTACATTGCCCTTGTCAAAGACTCCCAGGACAGGACAGCATGGGATTAAATACTAAGTAAAGTGCACTCTACACTATAAAATTATCCCTTAGACAGATGCAGCACGTGGTTAGATAAATAGTAAAACTTCCTCCACACTGTCCCTATCAAACACTCCTAGGGCAAGTGCAGCATGGGATTAGACACTACAAAACAATTTATATTTACATATTGCATTTAATTGCACATCAAAGGAGCATTTTAAAACTAAGTATAATGTTGAACCGCTTGGCAAGATTAGGTCGGATGATCAAAAGCTTGGTTAAAGAGATTTATTGTCAGTTTTTTTGAATAAGAAAACATATGCAGCGAGAATTTCAGAACATGGGAACTAAACAAGTTTAAGGCATGGCTGCCAGTAATGAAGCAACAATGATGTGAATACAATAGAGACCAAAATTACAGGAATTTGCAAATATTAGAGAGAGTTGCTGAGTTTGAGAAGATAGCATAGACCAGGAAGGACAGTGCCATGCAGAAATTTGAAAATAGGAATTAGAATGTTAAAATTGAAATGCTGTTTGACTGGGGATTATAATGGGTCAAATTGGTCGAATTTATAGTTAAACATTGGGTGATTTATTGGTCTCAAGTTTTCAAGGTATTGGGAGAGAACCAATGTAAAGGGCTGGTCATGCCTGAGGAATCTAATTGAATTTTCTGTAGAAGTGACTGAAGTAGTGTACCACGGAATGCCTGTGGCAATTATTCATACAGATTTCCAGAAGGCATTTGATAAAGTTCCCTATAGGACTTTATTAGTTAAAATTGAAGCTCAAGGAATTGTAATCAAGTTATGAACTTGATTAAATAATTGCTTATGTGGCAGGAGATAGTATGGATAATGGTCTAATTAGCAGGATGTGACGAGTGATATCCATAAGGCCTTGTATTGGAGCTTTAGTTATTTGTTTTAGTTGTTAGCAGCTTGGGTGATGGGATACAAAGTTGGACAGCTGCAGTTGGTAATGACGCTAAGATGGGTAACATTGTAGGTGGTATTGATGGAGTTGAGGTTTAAAATTAACCGAGGTGTTTCTCAGTTCAGGCATGTTCCATGCAGGAGGAGCCAGCAGCCACTTGTTCTGGGGAAGCATCCGACTGATATCACAGGGGTAATAGGAAGCATAGTTTCTGATTTGTTGGTACTAGTTTGTGTTAACTCGTTCATTCCCTTGGTGTTATAGGTGATGAAATCTCACTGCAGTACAGGGTAGGTGTGTCTCAGCCTTTCTAAAGGGTTGGTACAGTTTGCTCATTTTCTGGTTAATACACGGAGTTCAGAGAGTTAGATAAGAGTTCAGAACTATAGGGCATATTTTTAAGGTGAGAGATTTAAAAAGGAAGTCAAGGGTAACTTTTTTACAGTGTTTCTTGTGTGGAATGATTTGCCAGAGAAAGTGGTGGGTGCAGGTATAGTTACAATGTTTAAAAGACATTTGGACAATTTCATGGATAGGAATGGTTTGAAGGGATATGAGCCAAGTGCAGGCAGGTGGGACTAGTGTAGTTTGGGAACGCGGTCGGCCTGTGGACTAGTTGGACCGAAGGGTCTCTTTCTGTGCTATACAGTTCTATGACTCAAGTGAGTTGGGGGATGTGGCTGCTTTTTATTAGAAAGTAATAACTGTAATTTTTAAGGAGCTACTTAACATTTTACTTCTAATCTAACAGCCAATAGAAGCTTAGTCATGTCATTCGGAGGGGTTTTGTGTTCTGTCTATGAGATTTTGTTAATGATGGATATTGAGAGCAACCCTGATAATTATATCTGCAGGAAGTGTACCCAGCTTCAGCTGCTCACCGAATGAATGGATTGGCACACAAATGGTGGAGAGCGTCATAGATAGAAGTTTTAGAAACATGGTCAAACCCAAGGGCCAGGAAGATAAATGGGTGACTGCTAGATGGAGCAGGCATTCAGTGCAGGAATCCCCTGCAGCTTTTCCCCTGTCAAACAAGTATTTCATTTTGGATACTGATGCGGGGGATGGCCCATCTGGTGACAGCAGCAGTGGCTGGCCCTGCCATACAGAGGGGAGGGACAAAGCATAGTAGAACAATGGTAATTGGAGAATCGATAGTCAGGAGCACTGTGTGGCTGTGAGAGAAACTCCAGGATGGTATGTTGCCTCCCTGGTGCCAGGGTTATGGACGTCTCTGAGTGAGTATAGGGCATCCTGAAATGGAGGGTAAACAGAAAGAAGACATTGTCCACATTGGCACAAATTACATAGGCAGGAAGAGTGACAAGATCCTTGCAACAACAATTCAGGGATTTGGGTAGTAAACTAAAAAAGCAGGGCCTCTAGGCTAGTAGTCTCAGGATTGCTCCCGTGCCATGTGCTACTGAGGCAAGGAACAGAGACCGAGTACATGTGGATCATTAGGATGTCTTCCAGGACTGGTGGGACCTGTACAAGAAGGACTGGTTGCATCTCAACTGGAGGGGTACCAATATCCTGTCCTGGAGGTTTGATAGTGTCACTTGGTCGGGTTTAATCTAGTGTGGCAGTGGGGTGGGAACTCGAGCAACAAGTTAGTAAGTACAGACATTGGAGAAGAGCTTGGGTCTAAGGCAAATATTGCTAAGAGGAAGACCAGGCAGGGAGATGTTGCTGAGCTTGTCGGAACTGGAGGCTTTGACTGTATTTGCTTCAACAGGTAAGATGAACTTAAAGCCTGTACTAGTGGACACTATTATGATATTGTTGGTATCACAAAGACATGGCTGAAAGAGGAACAGGATTGGCAGCTTAACACTTCAGGATATTGATATTTTAGATGAGGAAGCAATAGAGTAGGGGGAATTGCATTACTGATTATGAAGCGTATCACACTGTTGGGGGAGCACACCCTAGAGGGATCTTGCAGAGTGGCATTACGGTTAGATCTCAGGGATAGGAAGGATGCATTCACAATGCTGGGATTGTCCTTTGACCTCCCAGCTGCCAGCAGGGGATAAAGGAAGAGATATGTAGTCAGATTCTGGAAAGATGTGAAACTAACAGGGTTGTTGTGGTGGGTGATTTTAACTTCCCCGATTTCAGCTGGGACTCCTTTGCTGCCAGGGGTTTGGATGGGGAGCAATTGTTAGGTGTATTCAGGAGGGTTTTTTGAAACAGTATGTGAATAGTCCAACAAGGGAGGGGGCCATACCAGATCTGGTATTGGGAAATGAGCCCAGCCAATTGATCAAAGTTTCAGTGGGAGAGCATTTTGGGAATAGTGACCATAATTTCGTAAACTTTCAGATACTTGTGGATAAGGAGAAGAGTGGATCTTGGATGAAGGTGTTAAATTGGGGAAAGGCCAACCATAACCGAATAAGGCAAAATTTAGATAACATGGATTGGGACAGGCTGTTTGAGGGTAAATCCATACCTGACGTGGGTCTTTTAAGGACCACTTGTTTAGAGTGCAGGACAGGCATGTTCCTGTGAAATTTAAGGACAGGAGTGGCAGATTCAGGAACCTTGAATGACAGGGGCAATTATCAGCTTAGTCAAAAAAAAGGAAGCATACCTAAGGTCTAGGCAACTGAAAGCAGGCAAGAGTCCTTGAAGGTATAGAGAAAGTAGGAAGGAGCTCAGATAGTGAGGTAGGAGGGCCAGAAGGAGCTATGAAATGTCCTTAGCCAGCAGGGTTAAGGAGAATCGCAAGGCATTTTATATATACATTAGTAGCAAGAGGGTAGCTAGAGAAAGAGTAGACCCACTCAAGGATAAAAGAGGAAGGTTATGTGTGGAGTCAGAGGAAATGGATGAGATCCTTAATGAGTACTTGACATTGGTATTCACCAAAGAGAGGGAGGTAAGGGATGTTGAGGTTAGGAAAGGGTGTGTGAATACTTGGACAGGTCAGCATGATGAAGGAGGAAGTGTTGGGTGTCTTGAAGTATACTAAAGTCGACAGGTCTCTAAGGGTGAGATGAGATCTATCCCAGGATATTGTGGGAAGCAAGGAATGAAATAGCTGGGGCCTTAACCAATATCTTTGCATCCTGTTTGGCCTCAGGCGAGGTTCCAGAGGACTGGAGAATGACCAAAGTTGTTCCTTTGTTTAAGAAGGGAAGAGGCTGAGAAGTGACCTGATAGAGGTCTGCAAAATTATGAGTCATAGATAAGGTGGATAGTCAAAGGTTTTTTCAGAGGGTCGTAAGGTCAATTACAAGAGGACACAGGTTCAAGGTGAGAGGGGGAAAGTTTAGTGGAGAAGTGTGGGGAAGATTTTTCACACTCAGAATGATGGGTGTCTGGAACATACTGCCAGCAGAAGCAGACACATTAACAACATTTAAGATGTATCTTGATAGACACATGAACGTGAAGTGAATAAGAATTGGGAATTGGCTCAAGCTTGATGGGCTGAAAGGCCTGTTCTTATGCTGTATTGTATTGTATATGTGAATTGAAAAGCTAGTAATGTGGCAGATGGATTTTAGAGCAGGGAAATGTGGTATCTAAAACAGATAAAACAGGATATTTTCTAAATGAAGAACTCAAAGCAGTGGAGGTCTGAAGAGACTTAGAGGGTCTGGATACATTATTAAAATGCCGAAACAGATACAGAAAATAATAAAAAAAAAAGGATGCAGGTCAGGTTGGGAGTGAGAGGGCCACTGTTTGGTGGTGGTTGTGTTGCAAGTTGTGCTTCAGCTAGAAATAAATGGTCAGAGGAGTTCCGGGCAACACACATTAGAAGAGATGTATTGTCAACTGTCTCACCCTATGAACAAACTAAAAATTCACAGCAATGGCAAGAGGCCTCTATCCCTAACTCTACAAGTTACTAACTTAGTAACTTAACCATTCCTCTTCAGACATCCCCAATTAGGTGGAATCTCGTTGGAAAGATCATTTTCCTGTAACCAGTTATATATACTTAGACAATCTAATGTTGATATGATGTTGAACAGAAGTTGATATTTAGTAACATATTTTCTAATCCTCACAACCAGTGCTTTCCAGTTTCATGTTATGTGCTTGTGGTTATTGCTGTCTCATAATCATACAAAACTAAGCCAATTCAAAGATAAACACATTCAAATGGAGATGGACTGGATGTAGTGATACAATAAGGAAGAACGATAACTTGTGTAAGTTACACAAGTAAAATTCAAACTGGCTGAGGAGTTTAGCGTTATTTACATCCTTTAATTTCCGCTGATTTGGAATTGTGGTGATATCCTTACAGTTTAATTGTTGTGCATCTGGACAATTGCTGCTTTTTATTTGAAGTCAGTGTATAAGCATATGGTTCAGCATAATGAAGATCCTCATTATTCAGAGATGTGTGCTCCTCTTCATACCTTCCCAGAGATCATATCATGCTGATGGATTGCTTGGCAACTGCATAAAAGATTTTTAAATGAATAGATTTGTTGGCTTGAAATAAAAATACTGTAGTTTGCAAAGCAATTACTATAGGTTTAAAGTGGTAATAAAGTCTGTTTTGATAAAAATTAAATGAATTTTATTTATTTTATATTCATAGAGCTGTTTCATCATGGAAAAAATGTTGCCTTAATTGCCATTTGTGAATGTAGTTTATGTTCTCATTATTTAAATAGTGGATGCGACTGGAATCTGTAAAATACACAATGGTATTTGAGCTATGGATTTATGTTCATCAATTCCAATCAGGTCAGCTGCAAACCAGAATTAGTCTCATTGCCCCAGGAACTTGATCCATTCTGCCTCAACTTATTCAGTGAAACATTTCTTTCTCTTAGTGTTATTAGTCTCTTTCTAACTTGTGGTTTTGCCTATTTTTATGTCTGTCAGGTTCATGTTTGTCTGTTGCATCACTGTCTTGCTGTAACGCCATTTCACTCTTCATTAGTCCCTTTGCCTGGTTGCCCCTCACTTGTACCTGCCCGCTTTTGCTTATGCCACACCCTCTCCCTTGCCCTCAGTTGGGCCATACTTCCTCCCTTGCTTGCACTCTCCTTTTCCCTGCTTCAGCGTGCCCCACGGACAACTAAGGTCCCCTTAAAAATCAGCATGACTGTCTATGTGTGGAACCACAGGAGATGGGGGAGATTTTTAATGAATATTTCTCAGTGTTTACGGAGGAGAGAGTCATGGATGCTAAGGAAATAGGGGAAACAAGTGGGGATGATTTGGACCACATACACATTACCAGAGAGGAGGTGTTTGCAGTCTTAAAGCGCAGTAAGGTGGATAAATCCCCTGGGCCTGATCAAGCCCATCCCTGGGCGTGGAAGGCTGGGGAAGAAATTGCAGAGACACTTACGGAGATTTTTGCTTCATCTTCAGCCACTGGTGAAGTTCCAGAAGACTGGAGGGTGGATTAGGTTGTTCTATTGTTTAAGAAAGGTAGCAAAGACAAGCCAAGGATTTACAGGCCAGTCAGTGGTTGGCGCCTGACATCAGTGGTAGGCAAGTTATTGGAGAGGATACTGAGGGACAGGATCAACCAACATTTGGATAGTCAAGGTCTGATTAGGGGTAGCCAGCATGGATTTGTGCATGGGAAGTCATGTCTGACAAATCTTTGAGTTTATCGAAGAGGTAACCAAGAGAATGGATGAAGGATAGGCCTGTGGATATTATCTATACGGACTTTAGTAAGGTCTTTGACAAGGTCCCACACAGCAGGTCAGTCATGAAAGTTAGGTCACGTGGGATCCAGGGAGAGCTAGCTAATTGCATATTCAAAATTGGCTCGATGGTAGGAAGCAGAGGGTGATTGTTGCAGGTTATTTCTTGGACTGGAGACCTGTGACTAGTGGTGTGCCACGGTTTGGTGCTGGGACCTTCGTTATTTGTTATTTACATAAATGATCTGCATGTGAATGTACAAGGTATGATTAGTAAATTTGTGGATGATGCAAAATTAGGAGGTATCGTTGATAGCAAAGAGCATTTTCTAAAATTACAGAGGGATCTTTATCAGATGGGGAAGTGGGCAAATGCAGTTCAATACAGATAAGTGTGAGGTGTTGCATACCTAGTGGTATGATTATTAGACTGTTAATCCAGAGACGCAGGTAGTGTTCTGGGGACCTGGGTTCGAAACATGGCAAATGGTAGAATTTGAATTCAACAAGAATCTAGAATTAAGAATCTTAACGATGACTGTTGATTGTCAGAAAAACCCAACTGGTTCATTAATGTCCTTTTGGGAAGGTAACTGCCATCCTTACCTGGTCTGGCCTAATGTGACTCCAGGCCCACAGTAATGTGTTTGACTCTTAACTGTCCTCTGGGCAATAAAGGCTGGCCTAGCCAGCAAAGCCTTCATCTTGTGAATGAACACCCTCATCTCATGAATGACTAACAAAAAAGCAAGGGGAAGGTGTGTTAAAATCCTAAGAGACCCAAATAGAATTGACCATGATGGTGCTAACATTGCACAGCAAATAAATGGCCACTGTGGTTTTCATCTGAATGATGTACGAGCTTGGAGAGGATCAGTGGTCTGAAAACCAATAAACCTCTCAGGAAAATGTTAAATGATATTAGATATAAGAGGATAATTTAAAAGTTTCTTTTGAAAGATTCAGAGAACAAGAAAAAATCCAAACTTTTCCACACTGAAAGAGAACAGTGTCAAGCTTGACAGCTCCAGAACCATTAGGCTTACCTCAGTAACCGTAAAACTAATAGCATTCATGCAGAGTAGAGGTAGTTTTGTGAAAAGAATGTTATAACTATTAATAATCTAGGGTATTTTGGAAAATTAGAAGCTCACATTAATGATTCCATTAGTCAGTTGTTTTAATGCATTAGGATGAATTCTATCAGAACCTAGGGTTTTGTCAGTCCACAGCTTCAGTTTGCTCAGTGCCACTGTACTATGTTTACTGAAATTTTTGAGTTCCTCCCTCACTTCCATTTCTGGCTGTCAGCGTTGCCTATATACAATGAGCTGTAATGAAGCTCATTTTGAAATATATGTTCAATACCTGTCTTATTCCTGTTGCTAACTCCTTATTTTTCATTATTAATTCCCTAGGCTCACTTTCTATTCGACCAAATCTCACTGACTAACTCTCTTTTTAAGTGTTATTTGAAACTTTTACTGTCTGATTTATGTTTTTAAACAAGCTTTCTCCGATATTTGAATATTGCTGTATTATTAAGGTCTTTATCATTCTTTGCTGTTCTTTATATTTTGTCCAGTCTTCTGACCTGTCACCTGTCTTTAGGCCATTATTTGCTTTTCTTTTAACTTATATACTGTCTGTAACTTTGTAGTTAATTGTAAATGATGGGACTGCTAATTTTCTGATTGCATCTGAATTGACCTATCCC